CCAAGATGTTCTCAAGGGAGCTTCATCAGGAAAGAGAGAGAGAGAGAGAAAGAGAGAGAGCTATGTCCACATTCCCAGGGAATCTCACATCTTGAATCCTAACACTTCTCAAACAATGATAGTATGGTTTGTGTGAAATGGTGCCTAAAACATGACAAGTGCAGTAACACATTCTTCCTCTGCAGAAAAACCAAGAACATGTTCTGTTTGTTGGGTTGGACAAGACAGCAAGTGTTTCTTCTCAGAAAGCATGGATGGATACTGGGGATGATTTATTTGAGCCAAGAGTTTGTATGCCCATTGTCGGATGGAACAAGGTTCTTGCATCTCTCTATTCCTTTCCAGATTCATCCTCTTTGATGATGTAATTTTCATTCCATTGGTGGATGAAAGATTAAAGCTAAAGTTCAGCTTGATCATGTGATGCAACACAAAAAATGCACAATCTCATACCCCTGTTGAGAATAATTATCATGCAAATAGAAGATCTTGATTGTTGATAGCAATTTATGTCATCACCATTTATTGGTCATTATTATTTAGTTCATATTCAGTGATTGGATGAGGAATTAACAGAAAATAATGGATGGTTGAGTTCCAAGAAGTTGTCTGTTGATCTCCCACTTTGCATGCTCAAAACCATTACCAATTCAGACTCTCCAACAGAGATCTCCATTAGCTATAGGCAGACTGTTCAAATCACAAATCCTCTCATTAAAGAGAAGCACATCACATCAACAAAAAGCTCCACCTTCTCTCTCTCTCTCTCTCTCTCTCTCTCTCTCTTCCACCTTCTCCACAATCTCCCCCCCCCCTCCCCCTCCCCAAGCAGACTACTATAAATAACTGCACCAGCTTGCCTAAGGTCTCTAAGGTCCTGCAAGGTGAGCTTCACTCTTGCATAATTGGCTGTGAGCTTCCCAAGAGATCCTCTCCTGCTTGGGAGTGTGTGAAGAAGGAAGCCATGGACATTCAGAATGCACAGATTCTCAAAGGGGACTCCATGATTGAAGTCTCTGTTGATTGGAGGGGCAAACCATGCAGGCCCAACAAGCATGGTGGCATGAGAGCTGCTGCCTTTGTATTAGGTCTCTCTCTCTCTCTCTCTCTCTCTCTCTCTCTCTCTCTCTCTCTTGTGAGCTTGGCATTCATGGCAAACCATTGGCAGCAAAGCTTGTGGGTGTGTACTGTGTTGGAATATAGAATACATTTGCCTATTTGCATAGGTTCAGAAATCATGAGGTGGTCTTTGATGCCTTATTTTATTATGCTACAGAGAATGATTGAGTTTCTTGAGGTGCCTTTCATGAATATTCTGCTATTCCATCTTTTTCTCAGTGAAAAGTAATTGAACTAATCGCATACCTTTCTCCTCTGCAGCCATCCAAGCATTTGAAATCATGGCAATCGCTGCTGTTGGGAACAACCTCATCACATATGTCTTCAATGAGATGCACTTCCCTCTGTCCAACTCTGCCAATGTCGTGACCAACTTCATAGGGACTGTCTTCCTTGTCTCCCTCCTCGGTGGATTCCTCTCAGATTCCTATCTGGGGAGCTTCTGGACTATGCTTATCTTTGGATTTGTGGAGCTCTCAGTATGTTCTTCGATTCCCAATTATCCACACATATCGAAGCTTAATTGAAGACGATTGAATCCTTTTTTGCATGCAATATTTCCTGCAAAAGCTGCGAGCAGAGAGGATGAGATTGCATTCACTTTGGTGCAGGGCTTCATCCTCCTGTCAGTGCAAGCACATCTCCCACAACTGAGGCCACCCCCCTGCAACATGATATCCGAGGAGGAGCACTGCACGGAGGCCACAGGCTTCAAGGCCACCGTCTTCTTCCTCGCCCTCTACCTGGTGGCCGTGGGAAGCGGCTGCCTGAAGCCGAACATGATCTCCCATGGCGCCGACCAGTTCAGGAACCACGACCCCGACCAGTCGAGGAAGCTCTCCACTTACTTCAACGCCGCCTACTTCAGCTTCTGCGCCGGGGAGCTCGTCGCCCTCACCGTTCTTGTTTGGGTGCAGACGAGGTCGGGCATGGACGTCGGCTTCGGGGTATCTGCAGGTGCCATGGCTATGGTGCTGGCCATCTTGATCTGCGGTGCCTTCTTCTACAGGAACAGGCCTCCCCATGGCAGCATCTTCATGCCGCTAGCAAGGGTATGATCCAACCCTACTAAGTAACAGAGATAGGGATCTTAAGGTCGATCCTATCCGGATCGAAGAATCTTCTGCCGCCTCGCAGTGTTTAGTCAAACCATAGGTCAACGATTCTTTGACCAGATCAGCCTTACGATGGAAGCAAACTTGCAGGTCTTCGTAGCAGCATTCACCAAGAGAAAGCAAGTCTGCCCCTCCATTAATCCTCGAGTGCTTCAGAGAAGCCATTTCAACTCACCCCATCATCTTGACGTCGACGATGGTGGCCTTCGATACACCACCATGTTCAGGTGAGCTTCTCTCTCCTGATTTAGACTTTGAATCCGTGGTTCTGGTTCGGTTCGGTTCGGTTCGGTTCGATTTTGATTGAAACTATTAATTTTTAAAAATTAAAAATAATTTTAAAAATAAAAATATTATAATTAAAAATATATATATATATTTAATCGTGAATCTTCTGTTCGAATCGTGGTCTCCAATTTCAAAAATCAGGAACCATAATGGAGTCACCCAAATTCGATTTCGATTCGATTTTAAACCAATAAATCAATTCGACTCCGGTTCAAACCGAACGGACGGAACCGAACCGAATCCCGATAACACCACGTGTACGTCATCTCGCGGTGTCTGAACTCCGTGATTTCTTCCGGTGCTCAAGGTTCTTGGACAAAGCCTGTGTGAGAGCTCAAGATGGGTCCGACGAGAAGGAGAGCCCATGGAGGCTGTGCACGGCTGCAGAGGTGGAGCAAGTGAAGGTGATCCTTTCGGTCATCCCCATCTTCGCATGCACCATCATCTTCAACACCGTTCTGGCGCAGCTGCAGACCTTGTCGGTCCAACAGGGAAGCGCCATGAACACCCAGCTCACAAGCTCGTTCCATGTTCCCCCTGCGTCGCTCCAATCCATCCCCTACATCGTGCTCCTCGTCCTCGTCCCCGTCTACGAGACCACCTTCGTCCCCCTCGCCCGAAAGCTCACCGGAAACAGCTCCGGCATCACCCCCCTGCAGCGCATCGGCATCGGCCTCTTCACCGTGGCTGTCTCCATGGTGTCCGCGGCCGTGGTCGAGAAGAAGAGAAGGGAGACGGCGGTGGATTCCGACAAGCTGCTCTCCATCTTCTGGATCGCGCCGCAGTTCCTCATCTTTGGGCTCTCCGAGATGTTCACGGCGGTGGGTCTCATCGAGTTCTTCTACAAGCAGTCGGTGGCCGGCATGCAGTCCTTCCTCACGGCCATGACGTACTGCTCCTACTCCTTCGGCTTCTACCTGAGCTCCCTCCTTGTGTCGATGGTGAACAAGATCACATCACTCTCGTCGAGCCGTGGATGGCTCAGTGACAATGACCTGAATAAGGACAGGTTGGACCTCTTCTACTGGCTGCTGGCTGCCCTCAGCCTCCTCAACTTCTTCAACTACCTTTATTGGTGCAGATGGTACTCCAAAGGTCGACCTGCATCGATGAATCCACCACCATCGCCAGAAGACAGCCAACACAGCTTCTGTTCCTCTAAGCGTGTTGGAGCTGAGGGTATTCTGTAAACAGTCATCATCACTTGAATGATTCTTTTCTTCTCTTCGCTCTTGACCTTGTATTGAGATTAAACAAGGAAGAAGGAAAAGGAAGCGTGAAACGATCATACCGTCAATTCCACAGCAAACTTAGTGCTGGTAGCAGAAGACTGTCTCAGGCATTTTGGTCATGGCTTCATGGATGTTCTTCTGGTTCTGAAACCAACTGTTAGGCTCATTCCATCTGCAACAGTCACTGCGCTCTCCTGTCTTCTTCGCTTTCCTCCTTTACGATGCTGTCTATGAAGCTACATCGGGCATTGTGATTTGGTGTAGTTACGATGCTGTCCACCGAAGGATGACAGTTCCAATGGTTTGGCAAAGTGGCGTTTCTCCACAGGAACTGCTTGCCATTACCATGTTGTCAAGTCCTTTTTTGTAAGCAGAACACCATTACAAGTATCTCTTGAACACGTTGAAACTAAAGTGAAACAGGAACCTCCTCCTCCTCATAGGATGTACAAAATGAATCCCCCTCCTCTCTCTCTCTTCTCTCTCTCTCTCTCTCTAGAGAGAGAGAGAGAGAGAGAGAGAGAGAGAGAGAGGAAGAGAATAAAAAGAATACTTATGTTGTCCTTAGAAAATACCAAAAAATATCATATTTATCTATCACAACTTTAAAATATGATGTACACAAAATTATCCCTACTGTCATTCAACACTGAAGAACTGTTGATATTTGATCATTTAATGTTGTTGGGATCCTAAAATTGATACTAGAGAAGAATTACAAGCAATATTCTTCTGTAAGTGAAATCTATCTCCATGAAAGTAAGGTAGAAAGGTCAATTCACCAAAATTGTGAACAATACCAACATTTTAGCAGATGAATCAAACAAATTTTGTCCCAGCTTTTGCACATTTTAGAGATGCATCCCACTAGAATTGGACAATCAGAAGATTCTAACATGCAACTCACCAAGTTTTACACACCTAATGGGAAGACACAACAAGAGCTAGATCAGTGATCTCCTATTTATCACTTCAATTTTTCTCACGAGTATCTCTTCCAATGTAGTGATGAACATCATCACCCATGAGTTAAAATTAATGTCGCATCATCTCAATCAAAAGAATGTTGTGTTGCTAACACAGTATCAGGAAATAAAACAAAGAACAATCCATTCTATTAAGTTATGGAGTGATTAAAGGGTTCGAAACCATTTCAGGTGTCATAACCCAAGTTCATCGTATATTTCCATATACAATCATCCGATCCAATGGCAAATTGACTATTTCCAAGCAGAGCTATGGAAAATAAACCACGAGGACAAGGCCAAATAACTCTACACAATTTAGACTGTCAAATATATACATACACACATGCATATAATGTATCTACATAATTGTTTCCCCAAAAACATATATAACAAGTTCTCATGGAAAGGCCCAAAAGCTAGATATAATCAAAAGACACAAGGTAGAGATAACTGCCTGCCTGATGAGATTGAGTTCACAGGAAGATACACTTCTTATTACTCTCTGCACGCATTCGGAATTCTTCAGCATCCCTCCTAGCATTCTCCAGGCTCTCCCTAAGCTTACTAATCTCTTCATCCCACCTCGTCCTGGCTTCCTGAGAAATCTTCTCTGCTTCTAGTCGTGCAGCTTGCTCTTCAGCCAACTGCTTCTCTAGTTTCTCTACCGTTTGCCTCAACTTATTCTCAACCTACAGGCAAGATAGGGTAAAAAACTAAAAATGATGTCAAAAGTAAAAGATATATAACCAAGTGGCACAAAAACAAGTGAAGGAAAAAGTCAATGAAGGGTGCATTTATCTGGAGTACCAAAATTATCTTGCCTGTGCAAACAATAATTGATGGCTTAGTCAGATATCACCATGAAAGAAGATAGTATACCCAAATTCCACAAATACAAATGTAACAGTTTTAGTAAATGTGCAGTTGTATGAGAAGTATAAAACTTTATATTTTTCTGGCACAAACAAGAATACCCATAGAGATTTTTTTTTTTATAAGTCACACTGAGAGCGTCAATATGCCAAAGGGCTTGAAAAAAAAGTAAGAGTTACGTACAAAGTAAGCCTTTCAATGAAATATGTAAATAGAATATCTTAGTGTAAGCAATGACGCCATTAAAAGTATACAAAAACAACAATAAGAAGCTGAATGTCCCAAGCCATTAAAAAGTATAACAAAGCAATTCACTTGAGGCTCACGGTGCACAAACAACACAAATGATACCAAAGAGCCACAGTTTTTTACATAATTATTAAAACAAAAAATGTATTATATGCAAAAATATGAAGAAAGGAAGACAAAAAGCTTCAGAGAGATTACAACTTGAATAATCAGTGGCAGACAGATTTGAATCCTAAGTCAAACATTTCATCTGTTTGATGCAATTGCCAACATCTGACAAATTCTCCATTTGAGTTTTGTAAACAAGATTAAGAAAGTACATATTTATTCCTATCACTCGAATTGGTCTCCACAAACTTGATCATCATTATTGAGCTAATTGGTTTTCCTTTTTTCCTTTTTGGAGCTAATATGTTTTTACAAGTATTTTACATGTCAACAGAAGTTTTCATTTGTCCATCAAGAAAACAATCAACAAAAATGACGACACTTCAAGGAGCCCTATGCCCTTTAATTTTAAGCAGCAGAAATAACAGTTCAAGTTAATCAAATCCAATTTTGATGCATTGCAGCTCCTGTAGAGCCTGAATGGATGTACTTATCCACAGTTACATTCAAAAGTACACAAACAGACCTGCACATAATTACCATATATGCAGAAGAATCATCTTCTCCCAAGTATTTGATAACAGATTTATCGAACGATGATGTATTCAATAGGAGCTTCTCTCACTAGTTAAACCTCAGATTCATCATATAAGTGAAGTATACAGTCTGATTATTGTTTGATTTCCATAAATTGATGTTACAAGCAAAGTTTGCAATTTCATACCGTACCGGAGTATCAAGTTCAGCTCGTTACGGTACGAGTATACCAAGCGGTACGTAAGAGCATACCACTCGATATGTATATGTGTGTGTGTATATATAAAATAAAAAATAAAAAATAAAAAACCTTGTTTCTTCTCCTCGTGAAGCCTCAGCGACATCGCCGAGGCTTCTTCTCCCCGACGATGTCGAGGCCTCGTCGCCTCAGACGAGGAGGAGGCAACATTCATCTGCAGCGTCCAACGAGGGAGGAGGGAAACAGATCGGGATCGTCGAGGGAGAGTGACGTCGGATCTCCAGGTTCTCTTTTTTCTTCTCTCTCTACTTCTCCCTCTTCTTCCTTCTCCCTCAACTAATACTGCCCCGTAGTGGGCGGCGACGGTAGAAATAGAACGTCACCAACCGATTTCGCGTGGTAACAAGGCGGAAACAACCCCAATTGACGGTACCGTCCGGTAGCGGGCGGTCCACGTACCGGTTTGCTGGCGTACCAATACGTATCACCCAGTACGGATGGTATCATTCGAAATTGAAAACCTTGGTTACAAGCATTTGAAATGAAAAGACAACAATATGGTTAATTGTTGTTTGACTTCAAAAATTGATGCTAAATGAATGCTTTAAAAGAAAAGGCAATAATATGTACCATTTCAGTTATTCGTGCAAGTTGATCATCGTATGACTTGTATATTTCTTCCTTCAATGCAGAAATCTGTTGTTCAGAGTAACCCTCCAAAGATTCAACCACTGTTTCTTTACGATGGAGTTTCAAAGCTCCTTCCTGTCTCCCAAATTTTATATAATAAATAAACAGAATAAGTGAATAAACTATAATCGTAGTCATTTCCGCAATAAATTATGACTTATACAAACAGTAAGGCACATAATTGGCTTGCCTTTAGTTCATCAAAAAGCTTATCGGAAAATGGTTTTCCACCATTGCTTGCAATCACAGAGTCCACAAGATACAGAAGCTGCCGCACCTGCTCAGCTCGTTTGGTCTCATTCTTAGTCTTGTTATCAAAAAGCACAATCCTGTGTCTACAAGATTCGAGAAACTTCTGCAGGACAATTCAGTGACATAACAGAAACCAATCGATCACATAAGCCATTACAGAGTACCTAGGTTTCTTAAATTAGACAAGCTGGAAAAACCAGAATGTCAAAAAAAAGTCATGATCGATAAATGAGACGAGCACCTTATTTAACACACGGTTATATGATAAGAATGTGACTGTGCTCCCTCTCAAAACACGTGCATTTCAACATGCAAGGAGTTAATATTAATTGAATAGACAAGAATGAACACAAACCTGCAGGGACCGATGCTTCTTATAACCTATGAAATCCCCAAGAGTTTGTCCATGACTTTCTAAATCGTCTCCACCAGTAAAAACGACAATCATATAGTCCAGAATTTTCTCACCAAAAAATGTTTTTAGACTTTCAATTGCAGCCTCTTCATCAGGGGAAAAACGTGATCTAACAGAAAAAACCACTAGTATTGCATGAATGCCATCTTTTGCCAAATTTACACATCTAACAATCTCTTTACTAGTGGCCTCAGATTCATCAGAACGATCAAATAGTCCTGTATTTGTGAAAAGAAAAAGACACTTGTGGAGTGAAACATCAATCATGAACATCTAATAGCACTTTCGATATAACAAATAAATAGAAAGTCCAAGAACTAGACATATTTACACTTACCTGGGGTGTCAATGACATTCACGACACGGCCATCCCTCGACATAGTGCTTTGCAATTCGCAAGTATTCGTTACACCATACAAGCTAGGCTTTGACAAGAATGCCTCCCTACCAAGAATACTGTTTCCTGTGGCACTTTTACCGTTGCCAGTTTTTCCAAATAGAACCAAGGTATTAACAGAACTGGTTGAGATAGTAAAGTCCCAATCATCATCCATGCTGCTTCCACTCAACATGAGATAGAAAACCTAAAATAACTAAGAATAGAAAGAGAAGATGAAGATTAAATAAAGAATTAGATATTTCTACCTCATGATTGGAGATATACCATTTCAAAGATTTCACCATTAGCAATACTTATTATGAATCAGACTTAAAGAGAGACGATATATAAGCTACTCAAAGTTGATGAATAAAGAGTTCTAACTAGAATTGAATGACTGACAAAGAAGATATAAAAATGCCTCTGCCAGTAGCAAAATGGTGTAAGAACTAGGAGGACAACCAATTATGCATACTCTGAACATGCATGTGAAAAAATTACATGGGTATAGACATATAACATGAAAGCACAAATGTACTTTCCTTAATGCAATTCAAGAAAGCTGAAACTGATCTACACCTCTAAGAAAGTCATGCGATATAATAATAACAATAACAAAGCTGAAAGTCTCAACTATTTAGAGTTAGCTACATGGATCTTTTGTCGCCATTGAGATACGTAAAAAATCATATGTTTAGTTAAGCTTAGAATACTTAAATCTTTGTTAATAGTTTCTATTAAAGTATTTTTTAGGTTTTCCTCTAGCTCTCCTCGTGCCACTAACATTAATTATTTCACCTATTATGACTATTGCATCCGATGGTCTCCTAAGCACATGCCTATATCATCTTAAACGATTTTTTCTTATCTTATCCTCTATCGAAGTGATACATAGTGGTTTACGAATAAACATATTTCTTTTCCTATTTTTCCTAGTAACTCTACACATCCATCTCAACAACCTCATCTTAACAACACAAAATTTATATATATATTGGTTCTTAACTATTCAACTCTCAAATCCATAAAACATTGTTAGTCTCAAATCCATAAAATTTTTCTTTTAATCTCAAACGTATTTGATAATCACACAAAATTCTTGATATCCTTCGCCATTTTAACCATCATGTTTTTAATCTATGAATAATATATTCATCGATCTTTTCATCTTATTGAATAATTGACCCAAGATACTTTAGACTTTTACTTAAATGAATTTCTTGTCCATGCAACTTGACTATGTTTTCTTATCTATTCCTAGAATTATTAAAATTATATTTTATATATTCAGTTAGAGTAAAAAGTACCAATTTCAGCCATTGGTTCCAAATTCTTTAGTTTCAATATTTCATCTTCTCCTTCATGCATCTTATGGTATCTTTTCAAACATTTGTTCACCTTTTGCACGAACGTTATATATTTATATATAAACTACTAACCTACAGCACATTCTATTTCATGTGAAAGATGATCATCAGTATCACTTGGAAAATGTTGCACATGCGGTACATGACAGCAGTAGCCTGAGCGCATACGGACTCGTACAACTAACAACAGTATCACAAGAACCCGGGGCGGGTGTGCGGGGGGCGGGGGGCGCGGCGGGGCATAAAAAAGATCAAGGTTATGATTTCTTCTGCTAGATTGACGAAGGCACTGATCAACTATATATCCGATATGTCCAAGATTACGAACCAAAATTCGTATATCAGGAGAAATCATTTTTCTTAAGCCAAGATCAAGGTTACGGATAAATCATATGTACAAGAACAGTTGAGTACAAACCACAATCAAACGTATGCACACACACATACCAGACTCACGAACAAGAGGCAGCTAAATCGAATGGACAGTTATCAAAACTAGATTTTCCGTGAGGGGAAAAGCACGCTAGTGCGATCAAACAAGAATCGAGCACAAAAAAAGGTCTATCGAAGCCATGAAAGCTACGAACTTGGACGGAGAATCTAGGAATCACAAGCACCGCTAGGGATTTCGAAGACCCGAAACCTTTCGAATCGAAACATGGCACCAGAAACAATGATAGGACGATCGGGTGAAGGGGGCGAATTTACCTCGATCGATTGAATTGAGCGCGCGAGGAGAGATCGATGCGAAGGAGAAGCCAACGAGTGCCAGCGATCGATAAAAGGGGATAGATTGCGATTGCGATTGCCGTCCACCAGTCCACTCTTGGCGTGGTTCGTCGGATGAGGAGCGCGACTCGGGCGCCAGACTCGTTCCCCCACCGATCGCGTCTCGATCAATCAACCGGTTCACGAGTCGAATCGATGAGTTGAACCGGGTTTGTTTTTTGAGTACTACACCTATTTTAAACCGGTTTAAATTGTATTACTTGCTAATCACATTTGAGATAGGTATAAAGAGAAAAGAAAATAATCAAATTAGATAATAATTGAGTTCAAAATAAAAAATATATATATTTTGAATCACTTTGTATAATATTTTTTAAAAAAATTATTTCGATAAAAATAAATAAAACTAACGTCATTCATATCTAATAAATAAATAATGACATGATACATGACACATACTTTGGTGCTAAGTGATCGATACATCTTTGTCAAATAATCAAAGACGATCGATATATTTCATGTCAACATATACCATTATTCTTGACACTTTGTCGACATCTCAACTCCCAAACTAACCTAACCATCGAAATGGTCCAACACAATTACCATAATTCAACACCATTTTAATTCAAACATCTCACGAGACAAACATGGAATATGACCGGATTGATTTTGACTCCATAATCAATTCCAACAATCAGATTTTTCATCTAACAAAATCAAACCAAAACATAAAAAATGCAGGGAATATTCACTTCTCCTTCGACAATTCATGCTATCATTTCCAACGCCACGTAAAATTCTTTTTCATGTCGTATCAACGAGACAACAAATGTCGATCAACACTTTGGAATCCATTCCACACGAATTCTCTCTGACCTTTTCCTGGGATACCTTCTGAGAACTTTCCCTTCAGTATGTACCCATGCAAAATAACAGGTGACAACCGCAGTGACAAGCAATTAAGTGAGATTAATCAAGTCTTAATGATGATAAAATGTAGGTAAACCCAAGTCAAACATGATCACTAAAGATCAACCAAACGAGATGTATGCTTGTTTAATCCACCCTTTCTGGTGCATTAGCTTTGCTGCTCCCTCAAGCATGCAATTTTTAACGCGCGGTGGGAGTGAGAGAGTGGTGCGGTGTGATCCGTACACCACCAACTCCACCGCAACCACCACCGGGTAATGGAGCCGGACCCATGCGGGTCCCGCTTGCTTGCCGAATCGTCGCGTCTACCCTTTGCGAGACGGGTACCCGTACGGTGCTCATCGTGTTGTTCTGATACACGGAAAGAGGTGTTGTGGAGTCGCGGGGCGTCGCCACAGGACGTGTGCGGTGTGCGTGTTGGTGGCGATGCCCGATTCGTTTGTCCGGAAAAGTCGTGGGCACGGACGTCACGTCAGCGGTATCGCAATTGAATACTCTCTCGTCAGATTTGACCAACCTAACCCTAAATCCGGGGGAGGTCAATTTTTTGGAGAGAGCAGCAGGAATTTGCTGGTGTTTTCGGTCTACCGACGCAGCTTGGGTTAGGAATTCTTGGGTTCTGGGGCTGTCTTGAGGAGATTTGGGGTGGTTCTGAGGCTAGATTTTGCCGCAATCTGAGCTGGGGTTTTGTTGCTCTTGTTTCTCGATCGGAGCGGAGTCTTAGAAGAGATTCAGTGTGAAAGCCTCAGGTAATCTGTGATTTCTCTGCCTCTGTGAGAAATTTGGTAAGGATTTGTCCGTGTGGAGTGAGTAGAGGTGGAGTGCTGAAGCTTGCTCTCCAGATTTGAGTTTAGGCCTCGGGAATACTGAGAAAACCCACTGTTTCTGTTGCGATTTTGGCGGTAATAGGAAAAAAATTGAATTTTGTGCTGGTGGTGTCGTAGTTCTGGGATTCTGAGGAGAAAAATATCGGTTTCATAGGCCTGACGATTGTGTTAGGTGAGGGGTATAACAGATCATATTTCAGCATAAGAAATTACTTTAGCTAGTTTGTTATGATCAAGAATGGCGCTCAAGATTTCACCGCTGAAAGCTGCTGAGATTGCGATCAACTCGATCGGATTAGGATATGACATCGCTGGAGATATCCGTTTGAAGCACTGCAAGAGAGATTCCCCGGATCCATGGTTGATTGAGATTGATCATGATCAGGTTCACAACATCGTCCTTCCTGGTGGACTGTCTATTCCAAATGTTCCTAAATCCATAAAGTGTGATAAAGGAGAAAGAATAAGGTTCAGGTCAGATGTTCTCTCGTTTCAGCAGGTATGCCTTGGTTTGTTTGTTCCCAAATCGATGCATTTTGGTTCATTATCTTTACGTAATTCTTGTTGTGTAATGCACATTGGATGTGTTCAAGGATATGGGCTGGTTAAACTGCAGATTTTATGATATATTGTAGACCAGATTTAAATTGTTTTTATCATGTTTGTCGTTTTCATAGCAAGGTAAAAATGTGGGCATTGATTGATGCTGGAAGAAGTGTTTTTTAGGATTTGAAACCATGACAATTAGTTTCGTATACTCTGTAAGAGCTTACTTGTTCTTATAAACTGCATGTCATCGGAGAGCATGCCCTTTGGTCCCAAGTATATTCATATCCAGTTAAATGTCTGTCAAATTATATTTAAAGGCTTCTGAGTAGCCCAATCCTGACTTCAATATGGGATCACTTATGATCATTTTCATTCCAATTCATTTAAGCTTGATGTGGCACAATTTTTTGCATTAAGATTTTTTTAATACTAGAGAAGGCAGAAATTAATATTGACTTGTGCAATTGACAAGCATGAACATCCAAGTAGCTTTGTCATTTCAAATTTTGTTTTATAAAGGATTCGCTTTGACTATCTAATACTCAAGTTGAAATGGAGCCTTGCCTAGCTACAAGATTAAAGGTTGATCATGTTCTCTTTTAGGCAAAAAAGAAAGTAATCCATGTTTGTTATATAGGTAAGATAGGACTGATTACGAGGCCTTCTCATAATCTAGAGGTTATGAGAAGACCTCCAGATGCGATAATCAGAAGAGGTGAAATAATTAATGTTAATGGTATGAAGAGAGATAGATGAAGACATAAAAAAAAATTTAATAGAAACTATAAATAAAGATTTAAGTACTCTAAATTTAACTAAACATATGATTTTTTTACATATCTCAATGGTGACAAAAAATCTATATAGCCGATCCCAAATAGTTGGACTTACGACTTTGTTGTTATTGTTGTTGTATGGATGTCCTCTAGAAGACAAATTGTTAATGAGAGTGATCAATTGGAAATGGTACGCGAATGACAACCTAGACAAAAGCAACAACTGTCTAACCTTATTTTTCCGCAACATCTACAAAATCCATTCATTGATCATTGATGGGTGTCTCTGAGGATATTATTGTATATGGTCACTGTGCTTGGTTGCTGTTCCATCTCTGCATGTGTTGGTAACAAGAATGGGAATGTCTATGATATATCTAGCTGTAACAAGTCATTTTTCTTTCTTAATTCTTATGGAACTTTCTGCAGATGTCCGAGCAATTTAACCAGGAGTTATCTTTATCTGGAAAAATACCTTCTGGCCTCTTCAACAGTATGTTTGAATTCTCAGGTTCTTGGCAGAAAGATGCAGCAAATACGAAAGCTCTTGCATTTGATGGATGGTTTATTACACTATATGCTCTTGCATTATCAAAATCTCAGATTGTACTTCGTGATCATGTTAAGCATGCAGTTCCATCAACATGGGATCCTGCTGCTTTGGCAAGGTTTGATATCTTCTTTTAAATAGCTGAACATAAAGTTCATGTATTACTTTTGCTTGTGAGGGGTTTTAAATATATACTTTTAGAACAATAACTGGGCTCTTTAATATATTAGCTTTTGTTCCTGCAGATGTTTCTTTACCTGCAGATCTTAACTTTGTTAGCACTTGCTCTTGAATTGTTTTAGTTTCATTGTAGAATGCTATCTATCTCAAAAGTTTTCTTGTGCGTAGTTGAAAATTTTCTCCTGAAATATGATTACTATTATTTCCATTTTTCAAGTTTAACTCTTTGTTGAAGGATAAATTATTGTTCCTTTCTTTTGAAGTTGTAAGACTTAAACTTTAATGGAAAATTGTTCAGCAACAAGTTCCAAAGTTCTTGGTATGACCACCCACTTTGGGATGTGAATGCATATCACTTCTCTTTTTCTTCTAGGTTTATTGAAAGATTTGGTACTCATATTATAATTGGTGTGAAGATGGGAGGAAAGGATGTAATCTATATCAAACAGCAGCACTCGTCTAACCTCCAACCTGTTGAAGTTCAGAAAAGGTTGAAAGAGTTGGCAGATAAGAGATTTCAGGAGACTTCAAGAGAATATGACATGGCTTCTAAAGAAACATATGGGAAAGATAAGGTGTTTAACCCTCATTTTGATCTGCTTTTGTTTCCTGGTTTTCATTAAACTCAAAACTAAGGCAGCTTAACCTTTTTCTTAACACTGTAATGATAGGTCATTTAAAGATAATATTTTCGTAGTGCAGGATGAATTTTTTTTCTTTTTTGTTGTTGGTCTGACAGGCTTATCATTGGCACGATAAGATATTATTTCAGAAAAAAAACATTCTTTAACCTATTCTGGTTACTTATGAATGGACAACTAAGGTGTGCACCATGATTAAGGTTGCATGAGAGACATGGTGGTAATTTTCTTGAAATTTTGATTAAGGTTGTATTTTATGATGCCAAACATTTCTTGGAATTTTGATTGATACCTAAATTACTGGGATGCATATTAAGTTTCACTGCTTAGGACCAGGAATAGGTTGGACTGGACGTGTTTGAATTGATATTACCTTATATGATACACTGAATGGACAACAGTTTCTGGACGAACTGAAAATTGGCCTTATTGATTTGTGAGTGATGAAAAAGTGTGCTTGATCTAACTAACGCATGAACCTTGTCTTGCACCTCAGGTCTGTGAGGCCCAAGCACTTTATGATCTTGAGTACTTAACAACTTTGGTTAATAAGGTTCCTTAGAAATTTGACAGAAATGATTTTTATGGTGAACTTTACTATTGCATTGTAACATCCATCTCCTGTTTCTGATTGGCAATTTGTACTAATAAATTACACCGGTTCAGTATGAGTTGAAAGAGTCGTGACTGCGGTTTGCAGAATCCAGTCAGTCTAGCATAGTAAATTTCACTGTTTAGGACATAGAATTGGTTGGACTAGACATACTTGAATTGATATACCTTATATAATACACTGAACAGATAACAGGTTCTGGAGGTCCTGAAAATTGATCTTCTTGATTTGTGTATTCAGAATGATGCAAAGTGTGTTTGATCTTACTAACATATGGACCTTGTCTTGCACCTCAGGTCTGAGAGGCCTAAATACCTTATGACGAATCATATGCCTTTGTGCTGAATGCTGGTAGTGTGTACATTTTCCTAATGCTCCAATAACATCTACTAGTTACCCAAATGAAATAAGATATTGTAAATTGAAGCATTGGGCCTTTTTTAATATTATCAATTTTTTAATCTCATAATATCGGATTTAGTTGATGCTATGACATTGTAAGACACATCTCCTGTCGCCAAGTGTCAATTTATAGTTTTATACTAATAAATTACCGTGGTGCAGTACGAGTTGAGAGAGCAGCGACTAAGGTTTGCAGAATCCAGTCAGTCAAGCTCTTACTGCGCAAAAGAGGTATATTTTTTAACAGATAAAGTTCTTTAGAATGATTTCTTCTGTGAAAATATTTTAAGCTATACTTAGTCTTAAAATGATCTGTTTTACATTTTGTCTTACAAATTCAGGGCATCGTGCAAATCTTCAAGCAAAGAGGGGGAAGGGATAACTGGGACTTACCTCATATCGAGTGGTTGAACACTGTTCAGTCTGAACCCGATGTAATTTTAATGTCCTTTATGCCAATTACTTCTCTTTTGAATGGGGTTCCTGGAAGTGGATTCCTAAACCATGCCATCAATTTGTACTTACGGTGTAAGTATGAAATCTGAACTCTTTTAATCTCATTCTGCAGTTGCTTTTTTCTAAGGCAAACTTACTGGTGCATAAGGCAGTGCTTTTCTTTCAATTTGCCATGGCGATCCCTATTTCACATACACAAGCAGACCTTTCATTTAAGTTTGAACTTATTTCTCATACTGCACTTATTGCTAAGACAAATATATGTGTGCGTAAGGCAGTGCTTTTGGCTCAATTTGCCATGATGACCCCCTTTGATTCACAAGAAGAACTTTCATATGAGGATCCTAAAATTTTAAAATCTTTTATTTTATTGAAATCATCTCACGGCACCTTGACTGCTGGCTGAATGTACTCAAAATTAGAAGTTATGTTGCTCATCAACTTTCTGATTTATGGGAGATTAATCTATCTGTGACATCTGTAGATATGTATATGACCTTGTGCAGAAAAAAATAGAGGTGGAATGCTGATGATTGATGATACAATACAATTTAGTTTGTCAAAAGTGTCTGTATTCAAATTAATGTGATATATATTCTTAAGAATTATTTGTGGATTAAGAAGAATCCTCTGGTATAATACATCCAAAAGTCATTACTGATTTAGAGCACACTTCATTAACAATTTGTCATTTATGAAGTGTTTCTCACTGATTTCAGTATATTTTAAAATTGGGAAAATGGAGCTATATCTGGAATAACAATAAGCTGTAGAGTCTTTTAGAAATTAAAATTAATGTGATATTCTATGTAATTGCTATGTTTTTTTATGAAAAAATTAATATGCCTTTTAATGACTTGCATAGCATCGGATTTGCTTTGTCATTAGTTGCATCCTCATGTGACCTGAGACCCTTTGGCTCTTATTCATTCTGAACTAAAATCCTAGAAGGATGATTTTCTCTATGGTATAAGTTCTATGCCAAAACATAAGCTCATGTTTTCTATTTTTGACATGTTGCAAAAGAGTCAGGAATATTGTTGCCTAAATAGCTTTCGAGATCTGTTAATTGATTTCTTGAGGAAAGTTTTATCCTGTGGAGCAGATGCTGTGGCGTACTTGCAAATTTCTAGTTGCCTAAATTGGTTGATTTCCAGTGGAAAGTATGATTCTGTCCAGCAAATGCTGTCGTGTAATTTCAATTTTATTTCTTAAAGATAAGCATTAAGCAGAAAGAAATATCAGGTTTTGAGTTAGCCTTTATGTTGATGTGGCTTCAGTAAACTCTTCTAGTTTTATCAATTCTTTCTGAGATACTATGAGCTTTAAAAATTTTGAAATATCTCAGAGGATAGGTTTCCTTTAAAAATGTCAGGATAAAGACTTTTGTTATAGATACAAGGCATTCCTTGTATGTGGTTTATGTGCATAGTGTTGTAATTGTTCTTATTTTTATCTCTGGACATCAGATAAGCCACCAATTGAAGAACTTCATCAGTTTTTGGAGTTCCAGTTGCCGAGACAATGGGCCCCTGTTTACAGTGATCTTCCTCTTGGTCCACAGCAGAAGCAACAGAGCACTGCATCACTTCAGTTTTCCTTCATGGGGCCTAAGCTTCTTGTCAACACCAGTATGGTAATTATTTATATTCTTTTCGCTATTGGTTGTCACCATTGTTGACTAATTGCTATATTGTTGACATTCTCTAAGTCTTGAGTTCTGTGGAATTGTAAAAAAGATCACAAGATAATTTTTTTTTTTGTTAAAAAAGGGGGTTGATCTCAACTAGAACTAATTTGTCAAAATACTGACTGGATACATCAACTTTACAAAGCTCCACAAGTCAGGTAATTCACAGGGTTCTCAAAGAAATGACCCGCAGCTTTCGTAGGGGACCGAGTTACTCAAAAAAGTGAACAGGGTTATTAGCTTGCTGATAGACATAATCTAAATGAACTCTCTTAGAAAATAGAAAGAAAAGTTTGAAGACCTATAGAGTATAGATAACATTCCTAATTCTCCCTGGTAGCTTCCTCCTTTCTTTTTGAAGTGTTAGCAGGGGTTTGTGAATCCATTTGCATCTCTATTAATCTGGGTCTCTTCCTGTTTGCCTCATTGATACCTTCCAGTGTCACTCAGCTTCAGACTGCATTGGTGAGATGGCCAGGGTAGTTCTAGCACCTGCACAAATGACAAGAGCAGCGCAATATAACCTGATCTAACAGACTTGCAGTTATGGTCAAAGACCCATCTGATTTGATTTTGATCAACCCATGATTAGGTGGGTTTATGACAAGGTTTGTTAAACTTCTCATAGAAAGTATCCTGCACATGTTGACTCACCTACATTGAGGAAAGAGATGAAAAATTTCTTTTCAAACAAGCCAATTAAGCGACAATTGATATAGGGGAAACAACCACAAGACTAACATTGTAGGAAAATTTATTCATACGAATTTCCCGAGCAACCATATGAAGGCTCCATCCGATTGATTGCCCAGTTTTTTAAGTAACTTTCAGAAATTTATTGACAGAATCAGAACTAGGAATCCACTACGAGCCCAGACCGATTCATCACAACCATTAGTAGGAGGTGTTTATAAGACTAAATCTGCAATAAGATGGTCAAACAAAAGAAACAATGGATGTGTTACTCCAGCTCTTCTAATTAAATCACTGACCCTCACTTCAGCACAAGGGATGCATGGCAGCAAATCTGCTTCATAAGGTCAGTAACATGCCATTGCATACATTTGTAAGAAATCATCATAAATGAGACTACCAGACTGCTACATCTGGCCATGATGAGCCAAGAATACTGCCTGATTCGGACCAAGAATCTCAGTTAAAAATGTTTCTTGCACGTAAGTTGAGTCCATTGCCATGCCTTTTTTTTTTAAATCCGCCCTGAGACATGTTTATGGTAATCTATCCTTTTTAACTACTTTGACAATTGCTGTCCTTTTGTCCAGTGTACATCATAGGAATCTTAAAATTGGTCCAAGGATTGATGAGAGCCAGAAGGCCAATAATTGTGGAAGGACATGAGAGAAAATTTCACCTAAGTAATGCTGACAGCTAGCAAATTTTTGTTCAACCTTATGCACCATGGTTTTGTATTAATTTACAGTCTCTTTTAATATTTCAATCTAAGATATATGAAATGGATGACACTTTCAGTAATGTTAAGTTTCCTACAAACAAGACATCTATTTAAATCAAGGCAGTCACATAACTGGAGAAATTAGATAGGTTAATTTACTTATATCAATTGGTTATATAGAAAAGCACTCTTTATAGCAAATTTTTTGTGTCTTAGTGAACTTAAAATGTCACTGGTATATAGTTGATGTTACAGGTTCAGACTAATACCAAAATAAGAATAATTGATTTTACCAATGATTTTGTTAACGATTCTAGACGGTACTTGGAAAACTAGAATGAATAACTAACAGAAAAGTGGATTCCCTTGTCTAATAACCCTTTTAGATTTATGCATGTTCTAGTTTAGTTTATCCACTTTCCACTAAAATTTATGTTGTATAGGAAGGTAATTTCATCTAATTAGTGTCTGTTTCTCGGTTGCTAGTTTCTCCCCAAAGTTGTAACTTAAAGTAGCTTGTTCACAGTGCTGGGTGCTTGAATTGGTTCAATTTTAAGTTGCAAATACTAGATGTGATACTGTCAAAAATTGTGTTGAAGAATTGTACAACCTACACCGGATGAAGAATGTATATAGCTGAAGTTCAAGGTTTCCATTTGAAACATTTGCAATTACAAAATGAATAGTATGTCAAAAGCGAGTCAAAGCTTTTAAATGTTCTGCATCTAGTTTTCTCATTTTGGTTTAGAATAGAATCATTTGGCTTATTTTAGGACTCATGAATCAGCAATTGTTTCAGGTTGATGTAGGCAAGAAGCCGGTGACAGGACTTCGGTTATACTTAGAGGGTAAAAGGAGTAACAGATTAGCAATTCATCTCCAACATCTTTGCTCCCTTCCCCAAATATTTGAGCTTCATGACAACCCACATAACCGAGCCTCCACTGAATCGTATGACCGAAAGTACTATGAGCCAGTTGACTGGAGGCATTTTTCTCATGTCTGCACAGCGCCAGTGGACGCCGATGATGATGACCTCTCGATTGTTACTGGGGCTCAGTTACATGTGGGCCATCATGGTTTCAAGAAAGTCCTCTTCCTCCGCCTCCAATTCTCGACTGTTTCCAATGCAGCACTTGTCAAGAACCCAGAGTGGGATAATTCTCCAAACTTGGTCCAAAAATCTGGTCTCATCTCAACACTCATCAGCACTCATTTCTCTGCGGCTGCTCAGAAGCCTCCACCCAGGCCAATGGATGTAAACATCAACTCGGCAGTTTATCCCGGTGGCCCGCCGGTTCCAGTACAGACTCCAAAGTTGCTCAAGTTTGTCGACACGACCGAAATGGTGCGCGGTCCGCAAGACAGCCCTGGTTACTGGGTGGTCTCTGGTGCAAAGCTGAATTTAGAGAGAGGTAAGATATCGATGAGGGTCAAGTATTCTCTCTTGACGGCAATGCTACCCGACGACGATTTCGAGTAAGAAGAAAGGATATGGACTGACAGAAACTTGCAAATGCCACTGAGACCTTGATCAGAAGCACAAGTCCTCAAAAATCTTTTTTGTCTACTGTATAATATCTGTAATTGATTTGAATTGCGATGTATGCTGCTTGTTGTGAGTGATGCAGTGGTCATGTCTCTGCTTCTTTTGCTCTCACAAGAAAAAAAAAATGTTTGGAGCAAATTAAGAAATTGATTTCGAGATTTGTGATTTCAACAAGAACATGAATTAGTCATCTGAACTTTCTTGACGAGTGATGTAAATGGAAGATCTGTACATGGGACGGAAATCTGGTTGTCGCAGGAATCATTATCATATTGTCTTGAAGCAATGGATGAAAGCTCTGTTTACGAACTGGGGTACAGTGACTCATGAGTTACGACTCAAGCCACATCAGTCTGATGTGTGCATGGCCATGCGTTTCTCGCAAGACTCGTAGCTTAGTCGTGACTCAAGTAGTGTTTCCCCCCCCGTTGAGATGAACAGTACATTTATCGAGTCCAAAGACGAACAACATCGACCGGGTTGTTTATGCGTACCGGACCGAACCGCCTGCTACGGTTCGGTTTTCTTCGGTCCGACCGTTCGACCGTCTCTTCGTGCCCTCCCCCATCAAATCCCTCGACATCGATCTGTTAGCCCATTCCATCTCGGAAGAGTTCGGATTCCGAAGAGGCAATTCACCGAAAAGTAAGCCCTCGATTCCTTAAACTTCAGATCGTTTGATTCCCCCTTCTTTAAACCCTAATTCACCCACGATTCTTGCCAACAATTTATTCGAGGGAAGAGGAAAGGGATCACAAATCCTGCGATCCCTGTGATCTTTCTTGACGATTAGGAGACAAAGGATGGCAGCTTCATCACAAGGAGCCGCGGTCGTGGCGCTTCGGCCTCCCCAACCTCCGCTGGCTAGCGGGAACGGGAGCGACGCCGGCGTAGCAGTGGAGGCCGGAAACCCCAAAACCGATGTCGAACGGTTCAGGCATCGTGTTGATGAGTACATCTCCAAAGCTAATGAGGTGTTTAACGTCTCCCGATCTTTGATGCCTTTTTGCTTATTGCTCCCAATTCGATGTTACTTAGGAAAGAAAGAACACTTCTTTTGTGTTTTTTATGATGCGTTGTTGGTATCCAGCTGGAGCAGAAGGTAAATGAGGTTGTTGAGTACTACGCTAATAGGAAACAGCCGAATAATTCTAAGGGGAACTCAGGTGGTAAAGATAAGGAAAAAAAGAAACCTGGTAATAGTGGAAGCAACAATAGTGGTAACAAGCTGATTGACGGGAGTAGAAAGGAAGCTGTTTGCACAAAGAGAATGCAGGAGCTCATGCGGCAGTTTGGTACCATATTGAAGCAGGCAAGCACTAATTCACAATTCTCATGATGCTAGTAATTTTTTATGGTTCTAGATGCATGCATATCTTTTTGAGTTAAAAGATTGGTATAGATCGGAAAGGTTGTATGGAACACTCAGATGCTTTATCTCTTTTGAAACTTGGTGCAACTCTGCAAGAAGCTTGTTTTGTGCCTTTTATAGATATATTTGTGTTGTTAGGTAAATGTTAGCTGTGGCGAACGAATAAGACATTAGGTTTCCTAAGTTCTAACAAACATTTTCGCATGTGTGGATCAAATGCTTGTCATCGACTTTCTTATATTATAAATTGCTGGCAACGCAAGTTAATTGTGAATACATACAGGTTGTAACAGCTTTTTAGTTGTCTGATAACTGATATTACCTTTGTGTAAAGTACACTGGTTGGAAGCAGTTATGTTCTTATTTCCTTATTTGTTGCTATTTCTTCTGATTGCTCTGGCTAAATTATTATTTGCAGATTACACAGCACAAGTGGGCACGACCGTTCATGAACCCTGTTGATGTTAAGGGTCTTGGTCTTGATGACTATTATGAGGTGTGCCCCTATTTGCCTTCAATCTTGTATGCTTGCTCCATCTATTCATACATTTTCTTTTGTCTTCATGTTGTCAATTGAAATTTTTTGAATTAAATTTAATATGCTAACACCAACTGCGCTTTTTTTCTGCAATTTTTGAAATCCAAATTGGAAATCTGCTGCAAACATGTTTCACTATTTTTATGGATCACACTTGACGGCATTGCCCTATATATAGGAAAAGATTTGTTGTTTCCTCATGTAACTTCTTTAATTTTCTGTTCAGCTATATATGATCTTTATATTAGTAGAGCTGGCATGGTTCTTGTATATCTGAAGCTTTCAATCCTTTGTGAATTACTTTTTCCTACACCATACTGAAAACAAGTAATATTGCCTTTCTTGTGCTTGTTTGATAATGATAATCTGTTTAATTGAATTTGGTTTGATTTTGGGTAGTTCCATTGCTCTTTTAGATGTATCTGCTAGTTGCTTAATTGGTCAAAATCATTGGATACCCTTTAATAAGAATTTTCTGTCTTAGGAAAGTGCAGTTAGCATCCTTTTGTCTTATTCTTAGTTTGATTAACAATAATTTGAGACTTCTCTTCATCCTAGGTTATTAAAAAGCCCATGGACTTTGGTACAATCAAAAACCAAATGGAAGCAAAGGATGGCAATGGATATAAAAATGTTCGTGAAATATATGCCGATGTAAGATTGGTTTTCACTAATGCAATGACATACAACGATGACAGAAGTGATATTCATGTTATGGCTAAAACATTACTGGATAAATTTGAAGAGAAGTGGCTGCAACTACTTCCTAAAGTTGTTGAAGAGGTGAAGTTTAGTATGCTTGTTTCTGTTGCTATATTTGTTACCTCTTTCTTGCTATCACGTTCTCTTTTATTTCCTGCATGGATATGAAGCTGCTTTTGTCAGAGCTGTTGAGTCATGAAAATTGTTTTTTTTTTTCTTTTTTTCTTTGGTGCTCACTTGTCAGGAGGCAAAACAAAAGGACGACGAGGCTCAAGCTCTTGCAAACATGCAGATTGCTCGGGAGGCTGCTTTTGGAAAAATGGCTAGAGATACCAACAGTGAGGTAACATAGAACCTTATTATGGATAATTTCCCTAAGTATTTGCTTTATCTTTTTGAAAGTCATAAATTAATTTTCAAACCAAGTAGAGTAGTAGGTGCTGACAATATGAAATACTTAGTTGCTAGGCCAGAATTAGATGACATGGCAACTATTTCCAATTTCACACCTTCGGATAGGTACGGTGTTTTTTCTTCAGAAAACCACTAAGTGACTGACAATTTTTTTCTTAACAAATCTTCAGCTTGATGAACTGAATGCGCGTTTGGAAGAGCTGAGGAAGTTGGTAATCCAGAAATGCAGGTAACTGTTTGTTTTTTTCATCAACATGCTTGTAGTATATGTAGACCCCAAGTCTCTCCTTAGTTATTTGACAATTCAGTTGATTCAATTTGCTAGAATATTTAGCAGCTATTCATACCTTAAACTTCTGTGAGGCCTTGAGGCAATGGAGGACAGTGATATAAAAAATGATGTCAGCTAGAAGCTTTTGGGGAAATGAATTATCTTATTTTATAATTAATAAGAAACTGACCTTTCATTTTATAATTAGCAAGATAGTGGACTTATTAGAATAGTTAACATGATAGTTGATCTTGCAAATTCATTAGCAAGATAGAAAATGTGGTCTATACTAACAATATATTTACTCGTGTTATGTAGTATAAGCTCATTATTAGGTTTACCATATGGAATTTGTCCTACTTGAAGTTATTGTTGATAGAGTATGTACATAACCAAATGTTGTTTAGACTTTAGAGTCAAATTAACCAAATGTTGCACATAATATAGAGTATGGACATAATGAGATCCGAAAATTGTAATCCTTTTCTCCCAAGAATATAGAAAAACTAATAGTTGCGTTTTCCTTTTTCCCATGAAAAATTTTGATGATTACTTCCGCATTCTGAATGGCATTGTATCATGGTTCGCTTCATATGTGTTAATTATTTTCTGTAATATTTCTCAAATACATAAGGTTGCTCTTTTTGCTGACCTGGGTATCAAAGCTTCAACTCATGAAAATAGGCTCTTTGTTTGCAATGATAAGACTGCGTACGTGGACTTTTGCAACACTCCACCTGGTGGGAGTCTTGTGCGCTAGGCTGTAACTTAGCTGCAGGGAAGCATTTTTAAATTTATGCCTTACCAACTTTTAGAAATATTTTCTTAGGAAAATGTCAGCAGAGGAGAAAAGAAAACTTGGTGTTGGCCTGAGCGCTTTATCCCCCGAAGATCTTAACAAGGCTCTAGAAATTATTGCTGAAGACAACCCCAGTTTTCAAACTACAGGCGAAGTGGTGGATGTTGATATGGATGCACAGGTTTTGTATTTTTACCCCATGCATGCTTTACAGTTCTTTCCAAGTTCATTTCAGTTCTCGTAACCAGCACATTTTGGTATCCAGAATTATACTGTCGATTTTAGTATACATTAACTAAATGCTCATAGAGAAATTAGTTATATACGTATAAATATGTTTTATAGCGAAATCACTGGATATTTTTCATGCTCTCTGTTCAATGAGAAACCAGCAACAGTGAATGATTGGCTGAAGGACTGACTACTTGCTGGAAATGAGTTCAATGTCATCTGATGTGGCTTTTGGATTGGATTTTAATGTTCCTTTTGGATCCGCTTACATTTGATCATATACATTTTTGTTATTCGTTACTATCTTGTGACTTAAATAGAATTGTTATTCGTTACTATCATATACATTTGATCATATCATAGTTGTGAATGCCTTGGTGGTTCATTAAGCTCTTTCACTTTAGTTCATGACTGGAACTTAGCACTGACAACTTGTATTACTATGTGATAACACATCAATGTTGACCTATTCTAAGAACAGCAATCTCACTGATCAAGGTGTGCAATACTGGAACTTAACATTGACAACATATATTCCTATTGTGACAACACATCAATATTGACCTATTCTAAGAATAGCAACCTCACTGATCAAGTTCTGCAATACTTGGTACATATTTTTGATGCAGAGTGAAATCACATTGTGGAAGGTCAAATTCTTTGTGAAGGGGGCATTGGAGCTTCAAGCGAAGAACTGTGCAAGCAAGGCAGATGACAACTTAAAGCGAAAGAAGGAGATTTGTGATGCTCTGGCAAAGACTGCAAGGAAGCGCAATAAAAAACTTTCCTCATTATGATGTTGAGTTTGTAAAAATAAATCTAGTTACTACCTTCCGGAAACATTAGTTACTCTCGCGCTTTTGAAGCTGTTGCCTAGAATAAAATTTTTAGCTTCAAGGGATGACTGTGAGAGCAACCACTTTGTTGTTGTGAAATTGATCCAAGTTACAAAATGGAGAGTTTACCTTACAGTTGAATTAAGATTGTTCTTCTTTTTCAGTTGTGAAAATAGTAGTCTGAAGTTGATGCATTATGTTCTATTACCTTCTGTGATGTTGGTCCCTTGAATCAAAATTGATGGTGCTATCTATGTCCATGGCCTCAACGTACCAAAGGTGCATGAGTTTGATGCCTCTACTCTCATTGAAGGCAAAGAAAGGCTTACATGAAGGAATATGAACTCTTACATCTCACTGATCACTAGGCCAAGAGGTCTGGAAATGGCTTCAAGCATTTGTTCTCCCTATCGCCGCTGCTCTGCTCTCCTACAAGAGGAGGATGATGATGAGGAGGATGGAGGTTGGTCCTCTGCTCTCCTTCAGAGAGCATCTGCACCACCTCCCTCATCGTTGGTCTCTCGACACCGTTCTCTTGGACACACAGCATGGCAACAGAGAAGACATGCGTCACCTCCCCCATTGTCGGCATTCTGCAAAATCTTAAGTCCACGATGCGTCCAACGTTGTCCCCGCTGCAACTAGTGGCCCTCTTTACCCACTGAACGATGTCGACGCCGTCCCCGAATCCTCCGACCGGCCGCCGCCCGGTGATGAGCTCCAGCAGCACCACCCCGAAGCTGTAGACATCACTTTTCTCATCCACCTTGAGAGCGCACGCATACTCTGCATCGGGGAACATAGAGGGCTATTGATTGAAACTTAGAGCAGGTGAATTAAGGTAGCAACAGCAAAGAACGAAGAATCATACCTGGACCGATGTAGCCGTGGGAGCCAGCGGTGGCGGACATGCACTCGGAGCCACCGCCGTGGAACAAGAACTTGGCCGGCCCCAAGTCCGCCACGTGTCCCTCGATATTCGCCGCCACTATCCTGTACCGTCTTCTCCAGCCGAACCGCTCGCCCCCTCCGCCGTGCAGCAGCTCCCCCAGGCTGCAGTTGCTCATGTACCCGTACACCAACGCGTTGGTCTTCCCCGTGATGTAGCAGACGGCGAGCAGGGGGACGATGTTCCGGTGCCGGATGCTGCCGAGCGTCTGGATCTCGGCGTCCAAGCGGCGGTCGTGCCCGTTCGATCCCAGCCTCACCAGCCGCTTCACTGCAATATCGCCGTTGGCACGGGTCCGGCCGCGGTACAGCACCCCCGCGCCGCCGCGCCCGACCACGTTTCCCTCCTTCATGCACTCCAGCACATCCGACACGCCGAAATCCACCTGGTGGAAGGCGGCGAGCCGCCACGTGGCCCCGTCGGACCCGCCACGTTGCGACCTGTCCCGCACCGCCGCCGCCAGCGCAAGCGCGAAGCAGCTGAGGAGAAGCGCCAGCGGAAGGGCCAGCTCGAAGTCCCCGTGGGAGCGTCCGGACCGGGGTGCCCCCGCCACGTAGTCGCACGAGTTGTTCGAACCCGGTCCGCAGAGCTTGGGGTTGCCGGAAAAGGAGGTGGCGTTCAAGTAGGCTAACTCCCCGGAGTCCGGCAGCCAGCCGGAGAGATCGTTAAAGGAGAAATCGGCCGCCGTGAGGCTCCTCATCGCCGCCGCGACCGACCTCGGTATCGACCCGTTCAGTTGGTTGCGCGAAAGATTCAGATAGTTTAGCACCCCGATTCCGGCGATCTCCGGCGGAATGGGGCCGGAGAGGTTGTTCTGGCTGAGGTCGAGGTAGGTGAGTCGGGTGCAGTTTCCGATCTCGGGTGGGATCGAGCCCAATAAGCCATTGCAGCTAAGGTCGAGCTTAATTGCGTGACTCAGGGAGCCGATGGCGCTGGGGATCAGACCGGTCAACTGGTTGCGGCCGAGAAGGAAGGTTTGGATCGAAGATAGACTGCGGATCGAGGAAGGAAGAAGACCGGTGAGCGAATTGTTTGAGAGGTTTAGGTGGACCAGTTGGGTTGGTCTCCGGCTAGTGTTGGAATTCTCCGGCATCGGACCGGAGAGGCGGTTGTCTTGGAGCTCTAATAGGTTGATCTGCGGCAAGTACAGGAATCCTGAAGGAATGCTTCCATTGAGAGAGTTCTGACCAAGCCTCACTCTCGTTAGGCTCAAGCACATGCCCAAGCTCTCAGGGATGGGACCGAAGAAGAAGTTCCTGAAGAGGATGAGAACTTGGAGCCCGTTCGATGGACACAGGTTTGCGGGAATCGTACCGGTAAGCTCGTTCGACGAAAGGTCGAGCACGCGGATGTGGCCGCTGCCGCCGAGTTTCTCCGGTACGCCGCCGGTGAAGTTGTTCACGAAGAGCTGCAGAGTGTCCAGATTCGGTAGCACGGCGAGGAACGCCGGCAGCGGCCCATGCAGCCGGTTCATGAAGAGGTTCAACAGGCTGAGCTCCGTGAGCGCGGCGAGCTGCTGCGGGAGTTCTCCTGTGAGCTCGTTGTTCGACAGGTCGAGGAAGACCAGCCTCGTGAGGTTGCCGAGCGACGGCGGCACCGGGCCAGACAACCGATTGGTGTGGAGGAAGAGGGTGTCGAGGTTGATCAGATAACCGATCTGGTGGGGGATTCGTCCGCCGAGGCCGCAGCTCGACAGGTCGAGATGGGCGAGATGGATCAACTTGCCGAGCTCGACTGGGATGCCGCCGTCGAACACGTTGTAGTAGCCCAAATAGAGCCGCTGGAGGCTCGTGAGATTGCCCAGTTCGCTGGGAATTCGACCTCTGAGATCATTGCCATCTAGCGAGAGGTACTTCAAACCAGCTAAGCTCCCGTAGCACGCCGGGATGCTGCCATTGAAGTAGTTGCCACCGAGGTCCAAGTACCTGATGCTCCTCAGGTCTGGGACGCCGAGCGGCAACGAGGCTGTGAAGTTGTTGTCGTAGGCGTCGAACACCTGCAAGCTCGGCAGGCTCGAGTAGTTCCAATCCAGCCCGCCATGGAACTGATTGGAAGAGATGTTGAGGTATCGAAGGCTCGGCAAGTTCGACACTCTGATCTCACCGTGAAGCTGGTTCCCGGCAAGGGAGAGGTTGACGAGGGAGTCAAGGCCAGAGATGTCCATTGCAACAGAGCCGGATATGTTCAGGTTAGAGATGTCGATCCCGACGACGCGATCATGCTCGCACCGAACTCCGAACCAGGAGCAGACAGAGAGCAGATTGGAAGTGTTCCAGCTCACTAGTTGTGAGGTGGGAGAAAGGAAGCCTTCTCTTAGAGAAGCTAATGCCAAGGCATCACCATGAATGGAAGCGCAAGCGCAAGAACCAAGGAGAGCAAGCAAGGTGAGGAGTAGAAGACGAGGGTCCATTTTGTGAGGCTTCAGTTGTGCTCATTGGAGCTGAAAGGAAGGCAGGCATTCTTAAGTGTCCGCCGAAAGGAGATTGAGAGCATGAACAGATTTGGAGGAGAGACACGAGAGTGAAGGAACAGAGGCATATGGAATCAGTACCTCTGCAAGAGAGTAGTGCTTTCCGATGTGTTGAAGGTGGTGATGAGAGTAGTAACTGTAGAGATACAAAAAGAGTCTTAAAGAGGGAACAAGAGAACAGGTTTAGATCATATCAGCAGATCAAAACAAATACCATCTCAGCTGCAGGGTTGTGTTAAAGGTGTTTGTATGATGCATCATGCATCCTCACCTGCTTCACCACCAGGAATCAAACAGTGAACTGTGACACAAACCTGTAACAGAACCAGGTTTTATTTCATGAAGGGGCTCAGAATGTGGGAAGAGATACTGTTCCTGTGGCATGAAACTTGATGTGGATATCCAGTATCGGCAACAGGCATTTGTCCTCGAACGCTGCTGCACTTGTTGGGCCTCACATCAGAGTCGTACACAAGTGTATCTTGTGATGTCCTTGGTGTTCATGGATCACAAGATCTCACCAGACTTCGAGTGGTCACTGTAAGGGGAATGGCACAGTAAGCATCCTGTGATGGAAGCTCCATCATCGCGTGCAGGTAATCGAGTTTAAATGTTGATGACGATACGAGTGTGTGTGTGCTTTTTTTGTTCTTTGCCTCATAAAACAGAGTCTCTCTGCTCCCTCCTCTGCCTTCACAGTGAATCCTTTTCCTCCTGCACACTTTTGTGATTCAATTATTCCACAGTGAATCCTTTTGCATCCCATTAATGGCGTTGGAAGTCTCCGTCCATTGCTGGATCGAATGGAATTGTTCACTGAGGGTGAGGGGGAAAGCTACCCTTCTGAGAGGTCACCATCTGAGCCTTTTAACACTGTGTAAGAATCAAATGGCAGGTTGATTGATTGACAGTGGTTCAGCCAACAAAGTTCTTTCTCTAAAAGAGAAGAAGGGAAAGAAAGGCCAGCCTGCATCTATTTCAGAGACAAAGGTTTCTCAGAGAGGAGCTACAGTCAGTGGTAGGGATACTTATCAGAATCAACTCAGATAGGTTTAATAATTTCTATTATAAAATATAGTTATTTATGTTGTTAAAAATATGAATGATTTTTTTTTATAAATAATAAAAAAAGAAGGATAAACACTTATTATTATTGAATTTTATGATTATGGTTATAATATCTCAAGTTCTATGTATGAATTTGAGCAAAGAAATGCCAATTATGGTCTTTCTTCTGTTTATACTTAATTCCTATTTTCCATCAGTTTCCTCTCACTCAAAAGATGATTGAAATGGCACTTACAGACCTTCTGAACACTTTCTGTGTAAGACTTCATGTCACAATCATACTCCATCATCAACTAAATGATTGCCAAGCAGAACATCTTTTCATGTAAGCACATGAATCCATCTGCAAAAGCTGGTCTTCTCGTGTGGACTGTGGAGGAGACGGCCATGGAGGCAGTGCACTTCGTTCGTCTCACACCCGTCTTATATTGAATCAACGCCCTATGCAAACAACAAGACAAAGAAAAAGGAGAGAAATTGAAGTGAGAAGAAGAACACATTCCAGGAGAAGAGAGTTTCTTTCGAAGGTGCCTCGGACGTCCCTTTGGTGGTGGCAGTGAATGGACATGAGAGGCGAAAGATTCCGAACCCCGTTGTCCTCTTCCCAGCTATTCGCACAGAGATTGTTTGAATGCCTGATCACGTCTCGTGTGTCTCAGT